CAGCTCCATTTAAAATACAACATGCCCCCCCCCCCCCAAAAAAAAAAAAAAAAAAAAAAAACAATTGGATAACAACTATACTTAGGGGTCATTGTGTAAAGAACAGAATCCAAACCTGAGTCAGCTTCTAAGGATCTTCGATTGTTTTGAAGCCGTCGAGATCTGCGTCTCAAATCTTCAGTGTCTCTCTCTTCTTTTTCATTTTCTTGCAGCCATGCCTCAATTTTTTGACGCCAAGCTCTGAAATTAACAATATAAACAATACATTCAAAATATTCAAAAGAAATCAAAAATAACAGCAAGAGGTTGAAAACAAAATCAAGAACATGACAATGTGTATTTCTTTATTTCACCTTGGTTTTTCTTCTTGCTCCAGTGGAGGAAGTTGAGGTGCAGGTGGTGGTGTTGGAGAGGTAGCCCTTTCTCTATCGCCGCTGAAATCAGCACTCAGAAGCTCAGGTCGACGACGTCCGCTTCCTCCGCGGGCTCTTCTAGCCCATGAACGATCTACCCAAATTAAACTTATCATAGTAAAAGTAGACTGAACCCAAAATTGAATACATGCAAAATAGAGACATAAACTGTTAAGTACCTAGACTACCCCATGACTTTCTTTCCTTAGATATATCAGCTTGTCCTGAAGCCCGTAAGAAATCCATCAGGTTTGAATCATCTTCTTCAGAGGGTACACGGCTTCTCCTCCTCCGAAGACTTCCAGTGGGTGTTACATCTTTTAAAAATGCTAAACATATTAGAATCCGAGTTTGTATTGAAAATGGTAAGAAATCTTTGCTCTCACAGAAATACCTGGAGAATAAGTATCATCCTTTCCACTTCCAGGCGGTTGGTCAGGTGATTGGCCAGAGAAAGATCCCAAACGCCTGCGTTGTAACATGGGTGACCCCTGTATCGAGGCTTCTTCCTCTGACGCCATGCTACGAACTCTCAGATCTCTTTCACTACCTTTCTTCTGTTGGAAACCTGATCTTATATCATACAGGAGATTGTCCACAAGTTGACTCTCAGATTCGGTTGAGCCTGTACCAAGTTGACCACTCACTGAAAATTATATTAAAACACAAATACAATAAAGAGAACAACTGTAAATAGCAAGTATTAAATGACCATCTAATTAGTGCTTATACTAACAGTGCCTTCTCTTTGCAGCTAATTGTTCCTCCCTCTGTCTACGTCTTGCATTAGCCTGTTCCTCTTGAATTCGTCGTCTCTCATTTTCAACAACAGCTTGGCGGAATTTAACACAAAAACCTTGGAAAATTCTGAGACATTCTTCCAATTTAAAGGATGTAGAATCTTCACAAAAGAATTCAGCAAGACTGCATCTTAGATTTTCAAGCTCTTCCATGTCCTTGTGTAAACCTACAACTTCATGTTCAGCCATCTAAAAAAATGGAATAAAATTTTTGAAGTAAAGTAACTATCTACAGGGTAATGGAGTTTAGTAATAAATTAAAATTACAAGAATGAAAGGAACATTTTACCCGAAGGAATTCAGCCATTTGTTGTTTAATATCATTGTCAGTGGTTGGCAAATCAACTTGCTTCTTAATCTTTTTGATTCTTAGATCAAGGGTATTAATTTCATTTTGAATCTGTTCCACAGTAGTTCTATGTAAAATACAAAAGAATGTTAGAAATCGTTGAGGCAAGTTGTAAAAACTACAATTCAGTGAGTCAGAAAGTTGAATTACTTTGTGGCATCTTCTAAAGCAGTCAAATCATCTGAGAACCGAAGAAGATCTTTCCTCTTCTTTTCAGCTTGCTAGATTGACATGGAGATATTTTTATTATGAGATATAAGAAAAGGTTTTACTGCAATCATAATACTTCTCCAATGTTTTATAAAGACATTTCTAAGAGGAAAATTGGATAGTAAAAATATGTACCAACCATAGCAACATAGTGAATGAGATTCATTCCTGGTTTGTTTGCTCGTATGTCAGTGAGCTTCTGCAATGAGCTTAGTTTCACTCCAGCAGCATTTCCAGCATAACCACCCTGATCAAAATTAATTAGGTGTGTAATGGAATAAAATACTACAAACATGCTTGATTCTGTAATAACAAAACTACTCACAGAATTTAAAAAGTTCCCAACACGAACCACCATATATAAAACCTCTTGCAGTGGCTTGTTTGTCATTAAATCTAAAAGTTGAAAAAGCGATGTATTATTTTGACTATAGGTAGTCTTGACATCAGTGATATTCCAATCATTTATCTGAAACTTACCTTCTCCAGCGACAATCATTGAGTTTATACTGGGTTCAAGGTAACCCATATTGGTAGCAAATTCCTCCTTCAATAGCATGCTTTCAATCCTCAATTTATAACTGAAAACATATTTCATTAAGTTAAATAAAAGTCTAGTTAAGTTTTGTTTCATGAATTTAAGTAGGCCTATGAATGCACATTTGCTTACTTCGGGACTTTTATGAGCTGAAGCAAAAATTTCTCTGCATTGCCAAGCTTGCTGACATCACCATCAAAGGCCCGCAGCATTTCTAATTCATCAACTTCAGGTAAAATTTTTAATAATCCTCTCAGTTTTTCTGCACCAATATCATCATGAGCACCATCTCGAATAAGCTGAATAATATCCTCATTCGAACTTAAAAAAAGGAAACAGTACAAAATATTAAATTAGATTAAACCAATAGTTCAAAAATAACAAACATCAAGTCTAAAATTTACCTTCTAAATTGTTTGAGAAATATATTGACATTCAAGCTACGTTTACCATCCAACAAAACAATCTGTCAACATAAGAGATACCAATCAATGTGAGTTGCATTCATTATATTTGTAATAACTTACATTTGTGACAGGCTACTCCATAAATTATGGCCATCTCTTTCTTTATTTCATTGCTGGTCAATAAGAAACAATAAAATATGAAGAAATAATGACAAAACATACTTCTGAAGACTCCTTGCGCCTGCGATCAGTATCAGGTGTTTCTCGCACTGCTCTTGGAGGAACAGCAGCAGTTGGAACTGGTGGAGCCTGCTGGCAAAACAACCCCTCCATTTCTGCCCAGTCTAGCTCAGCGACAGGTGAGTCTTGATGTGACCGAGCTACCAGTGACCAGATATTATGTTTACCAACCACCTGTAAAATATTAAAATTGTAATAAAATCTAAAAAGGTAAAACAAGATTAATAAAAAAAGATATCAGCCCATTTTTTTTCCTGCTAATTGTTATGATGCATAAAAGGTAACTGACCTTATTGTTTGGAATTTTGTTCCAGTTAATTGTCTTCATTTTAGCTTTCGGGGTGGGAATCTCTTGCTGAGGGAGTAGGCGGAGATTACTCGTGTCTGGAGGTTCAGGGCTGGAGCCGGGCGGCGTGAGTCGGGATGCTTCTTGTGCAACAAGGGGAGGGGGTGCTGGGGGCGGCGCGGCCGGGGGTGCGGGCGGCGCTGAGGGTGGGGGCGGCGGGGGCGGCGGAGTGCCCCCCGCAGGACCAGAGGGTGCCGGCGGGGGCGGCGGCGGAGGCACCCCGGTGGCAGAGATGAGGGACTGCTTGCGACTCCCACATAGTGAGTCCTTCTCTTTGTCAGGCTGGCGATGAGGGTGGCAGTTGCAGTGCGAGCACAACTTGGACTGACAAACACAGGGGAAACCGGCAACGGATTAGATTTTGTCAGGTACACCGGAAAAAGGAGAAGAAAAACACGGCATTGCGCAAAGTTGAGCCCACCTGCAATGAGGGCGACCTCAGGAGTTTAGAGGCGTCCTGCCTGTTGTCGAGGAGCGTAGCTCGGTGGACGAGGGTCTCTGCCGTGTCCCAGATGATGTCGCTCACAGGCTCCTTCGGATCTACACTCAGCAGGTGTTGCAGAATGCTCAGAAATGGGATTTCTTGAGGAGTCTCCGCCACCTGAACAGTGAAGGACAATTTTAACAAAGCACCTCGCAGTAGTGGAGGAGTAGTTAAGGGATTGGGGAAATGATTGGCACGGGGAAGGTGGGGGGGGGGGGGCAAACCCGCTCACCTGTCTCAGGATGGCGTAGAACACGTCGAGGTGCGAGTTGAGGTCCACGCCGTGCGGCGTGTGCAGGAGGCTGGACTCATCGCTCTCGCGCTGCTCGTCGAACACGTCCAGCTGGACGCCCAGGTCCGGGACGGCGGGGGCAGCCTTTCTGCAACAGACCCAGGGTCAGGATCAGCGACTGCTCGAGCGCTTCCGGCCGAACAACGCCCAAATTTGGAACGCGCTTGCGAATGCGGCGATGCCCCTTGGGTTTACCCATTCAAATACACGCGAGTGCGTCGTATTGCCCACGCTCGGGCGTCTCATCGGAGAAGCTTGACCGAAGACCGGCGTTGGTTGTTGGCTCAGGTTGGCTAATAACAAATGCACTACAAGCAAGACTAAGGTGCATGGTTGTGAGAATTGATGTGGGTCTCGAGACTTTCCTTCACTTCCGGGTGCCAGAAAAAGAAATATCCACTTGTCGACTGGAGGAGCCCCCGTCCCCGCCCTCCCCATCCGCGCCTCTCACTCTCGTGCCCCCCCCCCTTTCCGCCTCTACCACCAAAGGCGGCGGGAGCGCGGAAGGCGTAGGGACGGAAGAGTCAAACTCGTGCGTCTCTCTCTCTTTCACGAGCGCGAGGACACACACTGATTCCCCCCCCCCCCCCTCTCTCTCCCTCTCCGCGGCGTGATTGCCTGACTGATGACACGGGCCATACGACTCAACGCGCCACGCGCCGCCCCCCCGCGGGCCGCAGGCCGCAGCGCCCAAATGGCGTTCCGTATCCTCGCAGTGTCGGGTCCAGAGAACATCTCCGTCGGTCGAAGAGGGAGGAGGAGGGGCGGCGGGCGGCGTGAGGGATACAGTCCTGCAACCTTATGTAGGACTCAGGGGCAGCTGCTGCAGCCTCTGCAGCTCGCGGGCTGAGCAGACTCTGAAAACACTCACCCCGGTGTGTAAACAGTAAACAGCGGGGCGAGCGGGGCCGCCGCGGGGCCGCCGCGGGGCGGTGCAGCGCAGTAGGCCAGTAGATCGACCTGCATCCCCGCCCCCGAGCGGCCAGGTACTTACGCCGCCGCGACCTACCACCTACCCGCCCCCCGCTCTGCCCGCCAAGCGCGTTGGCCAGCAGGGCCACAGAGAAATGAGATGTCTCTATGAGCTGGACACGCGTTGCGCACCCTGTCATAGAACGGGGGCGTCGCTATGAACAATCAGTCGTTATAACCCTTTTTGAAGTTGAAGTCTATGTATTGGTGGAGGACACCCCCCGCACGCAGCAGAACACACACACACATACCCGTTCAGGTGCAGGCTGCTCGCGGCACGCAGCCCCGCCGCCGCCTGCCTCCGCGCTACACCAGCAGGGGACGCCCGCCGAGCGGACTCCCCGACGACGTCGCCCCTAAGTTCGCCGACCCCTGCTGCCCCAACCGCGCCGCCGTCGTCGCCGTCGCCGACCCGGGCGGTCGCGGCCGCCGTCAAGCAGATCGCCGACGAGATGGCGGCGACGGCGGCGGGCCGGGCGGCCACGGTCGGTCGGAGAGGAACCCGCGGACTCCGCGGCCCCACCCCCCCGTCCGGGCCGTGCAGAGCACCTGTCGTGCCGTGCACGTGAGCGCGTCACGTGCGCGGGCCGGGCGCCGCGTGTACCGGGGCGTGCGCGGGCGTGCGCGGGCGTGCGCGGGCGTCCGAGGGGCAGTGCGACGGGGGCCCAACTGAGCATCGCCGGCCCAGCCCGGCTAACGAGGGTCCTGCCCC